ATGGATAAAGCATTATTCCCTGAGTATAACGTTGACGTAACGACTATCCATGTTAGTAACTTAAGACATTAAAACTCTACTATTGAAGCTAGATATTCAATTGCTGGTTGCTGGTGGTTATGATAATTTATGCCTTTATCAGCATGAAGTTTCGATGTATAAGAATTTTATGAAAACTTAGCAAGTCACAATGGTGCGGCTATGTACGGTACTTATAAATTTACAGCTACCGCATTTATAACTTTCTCAATCATTAGTTGCATTTATTCATAGAGAAATCAAGAAATTACTGAAACATATTAAAACTCGGATATTATTTATTTCTTGCATTAAAAATTTCTTACACAACTTGCTAAAAAAATTTCCTCCCTGCAAAGATGAGATCACAATAAAATGTATAAAAAAATTTTTTAAAGACCACGTTTTTCATGTGGACTCAAAAGTAGAAAATAATTTTTCGGCAGCTACTGATCTCTGTTTGCTTTCATTCTCTTGAGTTGTTGCGAGCCAATTTACTTGACTCGACGTACGTATCGATGATACGAAGCGTATCATCGATATACGCAGTCTAAAGACGAATATCCTCTCGAGGATGACGTGCATTAAAGGTTCCCAACCCCTGCTTGTGAGTTCCTTTAGACTTTATAGTTTATAAACACAACCATCCACATAATATGAAAGGTCAACCATCCTACATAATATTCATTTCATTTCAGTTGGCCACGCAAATGCACAAAAGAAAATTCTTTTCAAAGTTCTGAAGAAAATAGTATTCGAGTGGATACATTGTTGTTCCCGTATTTATCTGGGTGCGTGGCTGTAATAAAGAAAGGTTCGGTAATAAATACGCCTGGAAACGTGCAACAAATCATTGATTATTGTATTGTTACCGGTAGCTGAGCTTCCCTAAGAGTTTCAGAGCGCTAGCTAGCGGGAAAGTTGGTGAAATATCGATTGCAAGATTTGATCATCACAGACGGACACGAAAGCGAGCTAAGAAAAACGTGGTAAAAAGTGTTTTAATTTTCCATCGTAATATTGAAAGCCTTGAATAACGATAGAATCTGAACAGCGTCAAACAATGAGTCACGTTCTTGTACATGACGCTCAACTTCCATCGCTATCAGAGGAATCATGTCACTGATGCTAAAATCCTAGTCTTTTGTGCGCTCGATTCATTTATTTATCAGCCTTTTTCTTCAGAGGCTTGACCTCAATCCGTCAGACACCTCGAAACAGGATGAGCGCCTGTGCTGTTGCCGAGTAACACAAGGTGCTTCACTCTCTGGTAATTTAGACTAATTTTACATGTAAGGAAAGGCGAGCGGTTGATGTATTTGTTCTACTGCATCTCCTCTATAATTGAGCGTTGATTGTGACAAGTGAGAGACAATTTTTAGATCTAGGGCAGTGAAACCTATTTGTGGGAACCATTAAAACGATTGTAATGCGCTACAGACACACAAGAACAAAAGAGTGATAAAGGAAGAAACGAAAACTTGTCGTTTGGTCTAATATTGTAACGTAAATAGTTTGCACAACATCGACGTTTACGAATGTTGTTTCTGGAACGGTATTCACTTGCTTGACAACTGTCACAAAGGCCGTCAAACCGCACTGAATGCCTTGCTGCCCTGACAAATGGATTAGTGAAACAATATTACCGCAGAAAGCTGATGGTCCTTATGGCACATGCCGTAACAGAAGTCAAAGTCGACCAACAGGAATGTCCGGCACATTATTGCGGTCATTGTACGGAGCCAGGCAGTACGTGCAGCTAGCTTGGGCTCCCAAGTCAAACTTCCATCATTGCTCTAACGATTGTAATTTAACTAACGACTGATCAGTTTTTGTACTAACGCCTGATCAAGGATGCATTGAAACTTAAGGTTATTAGAAGTTATGTCACAGCTCCCGTGTTTGTAGAACATAAGATCGGTGTATAGATACTGAAGAAAAATGTGTAAACGAAAAATTAGATAACGGTTCGCAAGACGGTAGGTCACCTCATAATGAAGCTTGTTGAGCACAAAATAGTTGTAAAGTGAAGCTGCATTCAACGCTTACCGAAGAGGCGTTGCATGCCTGGCTAATACACTAGACGAAGCAGGTCAGCTTCATGTTTTAATAGAAAATAGTTTTTATGGGGCAAATCATCCATGGGGCAAATCAACTTTTCCATTTTGATCATCGCTGCCGTATCTGGACTGGAAACTTCAATGCAGCTCAGGTATTTATCTCAATGAATATAGCACTTACCCAGTGATATTCCAGATCTATAGACATTCCGAGTTTTGCATATTTTAATGTTCTAAAAACTCATCAGTGACTAGTGAACTTCAAAACTTATTTTTATCTTCTAAAAAAGAGTCGAAGTCTGAGAGATTCGAACTGAGAGCAGCGTAACAGTTTATCAGTGAGAGAAAGTCACGAGAACGCTTCACGGTGGCAACTATTAAGTCAAATACAACAGCCAGTTAACCGTCGTATAATTATGGATATATACCGCGAACATTAATGATCAAATAATTTGACTAAAATAGATTGAATTAAATGCATTCAGGGATTTCATAAAAAAAACGCAATCAACCAAAATTTTTGTTGAAAACAGTAGCATTAGTAAATAACTGCGTCGCGGTATTGGATTCCTGAAATAACCAGGTTTCGGTGGTACTACTTTCAAAATAAGAACAATGAACAGATTAAGAAACTTCTATCCATCGAACTTTTGATACAATAGGATATGGCAGGGTATGAAAACGAGAGAAGTGGCCCGCGCAGGGAGCACCTAGGAGGACCGTGCAAGAGGCAAACGGTTAGTGGGTCCCGTTACAGCATGCGACCTGACCTGGCGAGCCCGAGCGCTGGCTGCTCCTAAAGTGGGATCATCTCCAGCGCCACTCCTTCCACTGCCCACCCTTCCTATTTACCTTCAATAAACTTATCGAATCAAGTTTTGAATTGAAAAGAACATGCATACAAATGCACCACCTGCTTACTCTTTTCGGGCAAAATTGTAGGAATAAGTATGTATCAATGGAAACGTTTACAAACATTCATTGAATGTCTCAATGATAACAATTGACTAATGAACTGAACATAGGAATGATACTGAATTACGATCTTGAAATGGGATCATGGGGGAATGAAAAAAAGTCGATATCTTTTCAGCAAAAGTTGCGATATTCCAGTCAAATGGATAGGAATAAGAAGAAGAAAAGTATCACAGCGCATTAAGTTTAGTGAAGTATAAATGTACAAATATCTGCTGGCGAATTACTTCTTATTAAAAAGGGTGATCGTTTAGCAGGAAAAATAATTTATTCTCTCAAAATATCATTAGTTTGAATGACGGTGCATCGAAAAGCTCAATGATTTTTTGGAACTCAAATAGAAGCGTGCATAATTTCATCCAACAAATAATTTTTTAATTAAAAAATTTATTGTGCTTTAACGGAAGAAAAGAAAAAAGTTGAATGTGATTTTTCAACGTTGGTCAATTAAAATATATCATTATGTACATTGAACTGCCTGGTCTATTCATAGGAATTTCACTTATTACTTTTCTATTTAATGAGCTTAATTTTAAATTGATGATCAAGAACCACACATTAAAAATGAATGCCTTCACCTAATAAACTTCATCTAATTATTTATCTGGGATTATTACTCATATTTATCTCCGCGCGGCATTTTTCATGATTAGAAATTATTTCTTAAAAAGCAGTGTAACAAATACAACAGATGAAAAATTTCATTATGATAATTATCAGTTCAAGAAACTCTCTACCTCTAATGTTATTAAGAGAGTTAATCAAAGCTACACCTACTAGAAACAAATTGCGTTACGTGCAATTCCTCGAAGAAGACTAAACCTATATCACTGTTGAGTGCCACAACGCGCAATTTTTCGCAGCGCAATGACACTGCAGAAAGTTCTCAGTCATGACCTGCATAGCACTGTCGTCATTCATCATCGTTATGAGGATATCAGCCTCGGTCCAGACTCACCTAAACACAATCACCAACGCTTGTTTTTTCTGCTCATGTTTATTGGTGGGCGTCTTAAATTCTGGTACCGCGGCACGTAACGATTGTATTGATACATGGAAATTAATTAGTCCTCATTGTAGTTCTTCGTTGTAAAATATTTGATCGTTAATACGCTTCAACGAAAGAAATTTCATCATGAATACTCTTCAAAGCTTAATATGTGATCATAATACTCGCCGATGCATAATGTTTTATGCTAAATACTGCCATATTTGACCATAAATACGCCGCCGATGCTAAAATATGATCATATTTTCATTAAAATGTACAATATTTGATCATATATGCACCCCGATGCACAATATCTAATCATAAACCAATTTTATAGAGTTACTGTAATATAGCAATTGTTATTTGAAGATGCAGGGAGGAAAACGGAAGAATCATTAACATTAATCTCTAAATGTGCCCATCAATGCCTTATCACATTTTGTTAGAACAATACAAATTACGCTTGATTGTTAAGCATGAAAATATAACACTCAAGACTTATAATTAGGGCAAATAAAAGAAGCTATATGATAAATAATAAATGGCAGCGATTTTATGCATTTTTTGTATGAAATTAGTACATTTTTATGCACTCACTCACCTGCTCTGGAAGCCAACTATTCACGGCTCCAAATTTAATTTTAATTAAAAATTTTGTCGTTTCTAAAATTAATTAAATTTAGTCGAAGCGACTTAACTATGGCAGAAACAGCCGTGCAAAAATTGCGCAAACGAGAGACAATCAAATTCTAGAAAAACGTTGTAACTCACACCTACCGTGGCAACATTTTCTCCCATAATATAAAACGCAGGAAAGAAACACAAGCAAACGTCTCTCTTGTGTACCTAATTGTACTCATAGGGTTGACCTTTACCGAAGGCACTCCGCTTACGCAATTTCACTTCAAGAATATCAAGTGCTCAAGAATTTTCAATTTCTTTATTGTTACACTCACCTTGCTAACTTTTCAACAGGGCAGACAGATTGTGAAGGAATTGGTATCAAGTTCACTTGGATTGTCGAGGCAATATGAAGCACGACAAAGAATGTCAAGAAATTGAAACGGCGTGGTCAAGAGAACACGAGTCGAGCAGCGGCGACGCTTGCCTAGAGTTGCTTATACGGAGGTGGCGCTTGTTGCATACGCTGGCACCACACGAGCTTGACTGAAGCTCTGAACCTCGTACACCTACTCCCTCGAGCTCCCTCCCTACTCCCTCGAGCTACCTCCCTACTCCCCCTGCTCCCTCGAGCTACCTCCCTACTCCCCCTGCTCCCTCGAGCTCCCTCCCTACTCCCCCTGCTCCCTCGAGCTACCTCCCTGCTCCCCCTGCTCCATCGAGCTACCTCCCTACTTCCCACCCCTGCTCCCTCGAGTTCCCTCCTTCTCCCCCTGCTCCCTCGAGCTACCTCCCTACTCCCCCTGCTCCCTCGAGCTCCCTCTTTCTCCCCCTGCTCCCTTGAGCTGCCTACCTACCCATCTGCCTACCAGAATCCTACCCATCATTCATACTTGGTTTCAAATGTATCTGGGTGTTTTGGAAACATTATATTCAGCAGGGCTATCTTAAGTGAAAAATATTGTAGTTTTAAGGCCATTAAAGAGCTATTGCTTTGCATAAAATTGAGTTGGGATTAACTTATGAAAGAATCACGATGTTAAAGTAAAGCCAAACCTGAATTAATACATTTGAGCAAATATTTTTGGGCAATATTGGCGTAATATCATCTGTTTTCTACTACCCTTGAGATTTCATAACATTTATCTAAAGCTTATGTTAAAAAAATAAGGCCGGGCCGTCATAAAACTACCAGTATTGAAACGGCTTCCATACTTTCGGCGAAACAAAATAAATGAATACCTTTAATTTTTGGTTGACCGCCCTATAATTTAATGGGACATTAATTTAGCGCATGCCGTGTGCTACCTGGTGTGAATCATGATTTTGTAACATATGGAGAGGTTCGTATTGATCGGTCGAGTGAGTGCCCTTCTGACGAACTTGAAATCTACTGATGACTTAGTTCTGATTTTTAGATTTCAATGCTACTCGGATAACTATTCGTGAAAAATCAGTTATCGGGATGAAAATAAGGAACAAAACGTTTTTAAAAGGAATTCAGCAAGTAAAAATTTTCTATAAAAGAAGCCATTTGATGGATAGCCATTTGAGTATATTGGTAAGTAGCATAAATGAACTGACTTTGGAGTGTTTAATCTTATCAGGGTTCTCCTTGCGCATGCACTGGTTTTTACGAGCGCGTCGAGCTTGGTGTGTTCGTGAGAGTAATTTAAAGTGAACCGAAATAACGGGTCAGAGCACGCCCCTCCTGTAACGGACATCATCAGATTTGTTCTCTTGGTGCTGTCTTGACAAAGCCAGCAGCGTTGGTGATGTAAAGAAGTGCAGGCGAGGACGGTCACTGCCCTAATGCACGTCCAAATGTGGCGCGCCAAACTTTATGTGGAAATGCGTCACGAGCTCCCGATCAAGATGCCTGTAACAAGATCGTCGCCATGACAGATGCTATGTTGCATTCCATCAAGTGATAATTAATTCTCATCCAAACACTTGGACACGTGAGAATGAATAATAAATGCACAATTGAATACGTGGAAAGATTAAAGTAATCAGACAGTGAGATCTGTAAACGAATTTTAGAATATGGATTGAGCGAGAGCTAGAGGTGGGTAAGCATTTTGTAAAAATATCCATTCGATATTTTCGTGCATGGATATATGTTTTATGACAAGGATAAATAAAAGTTCAGATTCAAGTCTGACATTGAAATTGAGCGAAAATGTATACTGTAATGGCATTTCCCGTTGGAATACTTCAATTGCGGATAGAAGCGGTAATTAATTAAAATGTTCAACATAGATCATCATGAACATCGCGAAGTTTAATAATGCAATAATTTTATTCATTGAGAAAGCTGTAAAGCTACCATGCGACAAAGCTTCTTGGAATATAGTCGATACGCAATATAAAGGTAATATATGAAAAAGTAAACAAAGAAATCAAATTGATTTAATAATTGCTTAATTTTACAGTCAAAATTACATTTTTGTGTGTGATCCGAATGTAAGTTGTTGCGAGGAGGCAAGAATGGACGTAGGTTTGAAAATCAAATTTTTATTCATTATCCATTAATTATTCAAACTTCGACCAAAAAGTGAGGCTCAATAATCCGAAAAATATTTCCCAAGAGAAGAACTTTGAAGCAGGAACCAGAACAGAGATTTGTGAGTCCACCCACAAGAAGACGACTGGGTCCGCTGACCCACTTACCCTCGGCCCGTTCTGTGCCGATCGTGCTTAGGTGCGGCCAAAGGAACGCCAAGAAATTTCAGAACCTTACATCATTATAAGGTTTTTTCTCGATGCAAGCGTTTATTCACATTTAAAATAGTGCTTCAGTTAACCAGTAGCAGATTCCCGATTTAACGCTTCGTTCCGTTAACCATTGAAATTAAGGTTAAAGTTCGTTCCGTTAACTGTCCGCCCTCAAAAATTCGCTGTATTATATCTCTGCATGTATTCAATTTTGCAGAAACAAGAATTTAAAAAATGGTCAGACGTTCTGTGTTTGAGTATTTTGATAGGAAATTTATGCTTTCCTTACCTCGAGTTTGGGAAATTAAAAACTGTCCCCTTCGTTTAATTGGAAATTTTTAATATATTTGACACCATGTTCGATGAAGGATTTAATGAAAGTCACTTAATTTCCAGGAAGTTGAATTAAATTATCGAAATGATTGAGCAATAAAGCTTTTCATTGCTAAAGGATCGAAACGAAACTCAGTTGAGTCCAACTATATAGTGGTATTTTTTTCCTGTATGTTTTTTCCTGTACTGGGTAAAATCTGGCTAAATGCAGTCAATAGTTAATAGTTAAATTTTCCCTCTTATAAAGTAAGAAACTAATATTAATTGGCTAGGAAAAGCACCAAACTAACTTTGGGACAAATATTTTTTTATCTGTAGACCGAATGTGATAGCGTTTATAGCATATAGATAGCCGAGATGATTAACATATTCGACCCTTTTTCCGGGGGGTGTAGCGTGGCAAAAAGCGGCGGTTACACGCCAGTTTTCACTGTAGACAAGAACGAACTTTCTCCCAGCGCAGCGTCGCGCTCAATCTAGGGCTCGGATGGGGCGGCGACGCTCTCGATTGTGCTCCTAAGTGCAGTTTATCTCCAACATCTATGATAAAATTCGAGGAGTGTTGCATATGTCAATAAAACGTATTGCGATATTTATTTCTCAGCAGATATTGTAAAGAAATTGATCATATAGGGTTTCCGTTGTAACGCAAGAATTTCAACTTATTTCCCGAATATTAAAAAAATAGAATCAAAGTTTTAATATTGTCATGAAAAAATTGCTCGACAAATTTTGAGAAATCGCAATGATAACATTGTACAAAATAAACATTGAAGAGTTTTATCTAGTGGGAAAAAAAATGACATGAACTTTTGACATGTTGGATGTAACATTTGCTATGAGGAATAATAGAAAATTAGTGCTGGGAGCCCTGAATGAATAACCCCATAATTAAACATGCAGTAACCTGGTGCATGAAGGGGTTCATGGTGCATAAGGGGTTCATGAAAAACCCCATAATAAAACATGAAGCTTGCATGCAATGCATCCAAAATTCTTCAACTTATTTCAAACGCTGCATGATAATTAATAAGTTGGCGAGACTTGCACTCGAGTGCCAGCAAAACCTGTAGACGTTGGACCGAGGGCAACGCCCTGCATGTGACCTCATCCCATACGTGACGCAACTGGGGAAATTATTGACTTGCTTTACCACCATACATGGTTCAGGGTTACTCACTATCCATACTCTTCTCGTAGTTCGACACACACCCGTACGTAGGTGCAGACGTTGCGCAACACCTCAAGAGGAAACCTGATCGGTCAACGCAGACCGGCCACAGGACAGCGTAACGAGCTCATCAAAAGAGCCAACGGATCGGCACTGCTCCAAGGCTGTTCGTGGCAAGGTTTCTTTAAGAGTACACCGTTAACGTGACAGTATTGATTTCCCGGCGGTTGTTATCAGTACCCGCGCGCTATACAAATCAAACGACAGAAATTTTTTCCACTAAAAATGTTTTTAGGTCGTTAGCGCAATAGCAAATAGTTTGATTTAGATCGTTTATAATTTCCTTTATTCTACTCGTGCTTAGATCTTAAATTTCTCCTTCTATCATAAGTTGCAAATAACTCTGTGCCGCTAAATAGGGTATTAGTTCAAGAATATCACACCGAAAGTTCAATGGGTTTAAAAACCATAAGAAGATAGGAATTGGTAGACAGTGACATACGATTTTTTTTTTGTAAATCTTGAATGCCATTACAGTAGTCGTAATGAGTGCTATCACTTTAAGCAGCAATTAATTTTTTAAACCGTCTTATGTTGAATACCTGAAATGTGGTGTAGGTTTCAATAGCGTCTTATACGCTTGTGCTTTAATTTATTCCAATACATCGAGTAATTTTTGTTTTTATTATAAAGAGTTTTATTATGAAACATTCTCATAAATTTCAAGAATCACACAATAGAAAGGGAGAAAAATGAAATATAAAATCACTCGATAAAAAAAAATTAGGCTACGACTGAGTTGGCAGTCGGCAGAAATTTTTTTAGTTAGCCCGAATTTCCTTTATCAGAATGGTTTTCTTTACTCAACTAGAAGCGTAAATCACAAATAATTATAGAACAAATATAAGAAGAAGCTGGAGAAATTGTATGCCCTTGAGAATGAGCTGAGAGCACCGATCGGTGGTTGTTATGAAAGTCCCACTCACGGAAAACGACGAAGAAAAAGAATAAGCAGAAAGCGGATGAGAATAACACGCAAAAGTCAAGGTTCTTCCCTGTTCAATACTCTTCTTAGAATCCTTTACATTTTACCCCCGTCTATTTTCATATGTGAGGCTGATACATTTTCAGTTCAAACTGGTTCATTTCATAAGTAAAAATGGGGTTCAATTGCCTCCTGTAAGTTACTCAATACAACGAGTTTTAATTATACCTAAAATTGTCATTTATTAGTTTCCGACCTTTGATAGATAAATATGGAGACATGGGTGAGCGAGCGGCTGGATAATAATTTTCATGCTAGGCGGCAG